TGGTTAATTCACGAGCAGTAGTCTTTCTATGCTATTTTTTTTTTTGGAAAAATGTATTATATACCATTGTCATTATAATACTGAGGATTCAAACTGACTCTGACATCTCTACTTTCATCAGTAACTATAACGTTACTAGCAAGCGCTTGAGGAGATAATTTATAATTCTATGAAAATAATAGTTATATTTAGGGTGTTAAAAATATCATATGCAAGAACAACAGCTAAGTTTACAGAAAAAAAAAGACCGATAACCGACATCGTTACTTATATACAAAGTAAATTGTTGCGCACCCGTACCAGTGAACTTCCACCGGACAGTTTGCTGTGACTCCGCTACTAACCAATACTGTGACGATGGAAAAAGTACTTTGATATCGGCTGTGTTAAATGATATCAAGAAAAGTTAGGGTCACGATAAATTTTTAATAATATTATCGAAACGAGTTTCTTGAACGTTTCTAAAACCAATTCGCTTCACACATTTTTTCGTTCCTAATAAACAAGTTTATCTACCTGAAACAAAGATTGCGAAAGTAACCAAGAAAAATGAAAAGATTATTTTATGCATGTCTGCTGTAACTTTATATTATTATTAAACGTATTTTTTTTTAAAATATCGTGCTTCGTCTCTTTAAATACAAATAAACTGTAGGGAATTGTGAGAAAGAAGAATCAGAGAAATCTCACTGGCTATTATATATGCAGTGTTATGTATGAGCTTGAACGTTTAAATGTTATACAGTAAATTCCCTTATATATTTCGAGAAAGACTGCAGGTAATATCTATGGCGTGATACCAAAGTACCAAGAAGGATATACTGTATATTATATGCAATACACTGAAGTATCTTATTTTTGAAACCGGAGGAAATCAATCTGGCTAATTTTAATCAATATAATGGAATAAAAATGTACAATGCAATCAATTTGGAAGTGATTTTTTTTTTTCACGCAGTTTTTAAATCATGTTGCATGAAATTAACATTGTCAATATACTTTAAAACAAGCATTTTATTATGTAAACTCTGATTCATTATTTTTTAAAAAAAAAAATTTGGCAAATTAAATATACTCGAAATGGAAGGTCTGTACAACCAAAACCAATAATTTTATTAACCATATTAATTACGAAAAATTAAAATTATTAAAAATTATTTTAGAACTATAATAAGTCTGTACAGTATATGGAATATATTATGAAATTATTATTATTATTTTATTGTGATTTGGATTTTAGTTATAATGATATTTTTAATATTTTTTTTAATATTTTTTTAGACAAGTTTTTTTATGAAAATGAGATTCAATTATAATAAACTATAAAAAATAATTCTTAATTAAAAATTATTTAAAAAAATTATATATTGAATATACAACTGTAAGAAAAAAAAAAAATTATCATATTTATTTATTATAATTTATAATAATAAATAAATGATCAAAATAAAATTTAAATACTGCATATACAGTATATTTACAGCATTATAATCTATAATAATAAATAATTGATTAAAATAAAACTTAAATACTGTATATACAGTATGTTTAAAATATAATCTAATTTAATAATTTGTAATAATTGATTAATATTTTATTTAAAAAAATTTTTTAAAAAAATTGTTTTTGATATTTTTAATATATTATTAATTAATTAAGAATTATAATAAACTCAAGCATTGGTTTAAACACAAGTTTTATTATAATTATAAATAACAATTTGATATAACAATAAACTAAAACAAATATGATTTTTATAAAATTTTTTTGGATTATAAATATTAAAGATATTAAATTATAATATTAAATTATTTAAATTATCAAATTAGCAATAAATAACCATTACTAGCAAATAATTATAAATACAGATAACTAGGTTAAATAACGATAATGGAATTTCGACAATTAGACTCGCATGCATCTGAAAACAGAAAATTCAAAAATGTTAGAACCTTAGCTTTATTATAATGATGTATAACGGCATTTTTTAAGATGAAAGCTAAATAAACAAAACATGTTTTAAAATGTGAATTCAACATATACCTTTATAAATTAAAATGGAACATTCGAAATTGTAAATGATTTGAATTTTTATAAAATAAAAATGTTAAATTATTTATGTTCATAAATTAAAAACACAACTATTACCGAGGCTCGAATTTAGAAGAATAATGCACAGGAAATTTTTTCGGACTTCATTTGACGTTAACATTCCCTGATCTTATCTTATCTAATTTTTCCTTTATTCAAATATAGATTCCTTCGTACATAGAAATATACAAAAGAAACATTTAGTTAAGACAGTTATTTTAACTTATAAAACTGAACCCACAAGAAACTTCAAGAATCGTAAAACAATATTTCTGTTTATTCTTTGGTAATTATCGTACATGAATGTTTAAAATGCTAGTTAGATTGTCGATGCAAGGATGTTAAATTTATGAGAAAATTATATGCGAAAATATCATAATACTAATTTAGGAATATAAATCTAACAATGTATTTGCACAAAAAAATATACATTGATAATGAAAAATGAGTGAAGATAAATAATTTACAGATGTGATGATGCAAATGCAAAATGTATGTTATCTTGTTCTATAAAAATCAGTTTTTAATTTTTTTGACTACATCCACTACTTCTTTCAACATTTTCAAACTTCTCTTATCTCCCAACAATGCAGTGTGGAATGCATTCATACAATACCCGAAGCCAACTTTCAATTCCGGATTCCACAAAAGCAAACTTCCCCCAGATCCACCCCATCCTATGAATTCCATATCCTCAAATCCTTCCAATCGAAAGTATCCGAACCCTCCGATCGTCGCTGTGATGTTCTCCTGAAGAACTTGATCAAAAGTCGTTGGTAGACGCGTAGTAATCAGTGAATAGGTTGAAGGAGAGAGTAGCTGTGGTTCATGAAACGTATTATTCGATGAAGTTTCTTCATTAGAATTAACATCAAGGGGTTGTCCACCATTAGCCATAATGGCCGCCAACTTCGCCATACTCCTACTATTAGTGA